GCGGCAATCCGCAAGCGGCAGCCGAACGGCGCTGGAGCCTCCCCCTTCTCCCCCTCCTCATTCTCCTCATCTTCCTCCCCTCCTCCTCCTCCTCCTCCTCATCAGCAGCAGCAGCATCATCATCATCATGAGCATCATCATCATGAGCATCATCATCATCATCATCATCATCATCATCATCATCATCATCATCATCATCATGAGCATCATCATCATCATCATCATCATTATCATCATCATCATCATCATCAGCATCATCATCAACAACAGCAGCAGCATCATCAGGATCCTCATCATCAATATCCTCCTCCAGCTCCATTCTCCTCATTCCTCGTATCACCCCTGTACCATGATGTGTTCGTCCCTGTCTGTACCATTCCCCATCCTCGCCCCCGTCTTCTCTTTCGCATCATGATCCTCATCATGTTCCTCCCCCCATACTCCTCCTCTACCTCCACCTCCACCTCTTCATCATATTGCTCCATATCCTCCTGCCCCTCGTCATTCGCACCCTCATTATCCCCTGTATGATCCTCCTCATCGTCATCACGATCGTCATCGCCATCGTCGTCACCTTCGTCCTCATCGTCATCCCCGTCATCTCCACTACCACCAATCGTCTATATCATCCTCGACAGCGTCAGCAGCATCAGCAGTAGCATCACACCATCATCAGCAGCAGAAGCAACAACAACAACATGACCATCATCATCATCATCATCATCATCATCATCATCATCAGCAGCAGCATCATCATCATCATCATCATCATCATCATCATCATCATCATCATCAGCAGCAGCAGCATCATCACCAGCAGCAGCAGCAGCGCAATATCATCATCATCATCATCATCATCATCATCAACGGTAGCAGCGTCGTCGTCGCCATAATCATCATCTGCTTCATCATGACAATCATCATCATCATCATCATCATCATCATCATCACCATCATCATCATCAGCAGCAGCATCCGCACCATCATCATCACACTCATCATCATCATCATCATCATCATCATCATCAGCAGCAGCATCAGCATCAGCATCATCATCATCATCAACATCATCATCCGCGTCATCAGCAGCAGCATCATCATCAGCAGCATCATCAGCAACAGCATCATCATCATCGTCAAGATAACCAACGTCATCATCATATCAGCATCATAACCAGCATCATCAGCATCATCAGCATCATCAGCATCATCAGCATCATTATCACAAGGGAAGTCAACATTGTCGTGATCACCATCCTCCCCGATAGTCCCCTGCAGATTCCTTCCTCGCCTCCTCCTCATCTTCTTCATCCCCCTCCTCATCGTCATATCCCTGCGTGGTCAGCCCACTCTTCAACCTCTTCGTATTAATATTCGTCCTCCTCCTCCTCCTCTTCCTCCTCCTCCTCGGTCTCCTCTTCCTCCTCCGCCTCCTCCTCCTCTGTATTATGCTTCTCCGCGTCCTCACCCTCATCCTCGTCCTCCTCCATCTCCTCACACTTCCCCTCCTCCTCCTCATCCTCCTCGTCCTCCTCCTCCTGCTCTTCCTCCTTCCTCCTCCTCTCCTCCTTCCTCATCATCATCATCATCATCAGCATCATCATCATCCTCGTCTTCCATTCCTCCTCGTCCTCCTCCTCCTGTCTCCTCCTCCTCCCTCCTCCTCCCCCTCTCTCCTCCTTCCTCCTCCTCATCATCATCCTCCTCCTCATCCTCTTCTCCTCTCATCTCCTCCCTCCTCCTCTCCTCCTCCTCCCCCCCTCTCCCGCCTCTTCCTCCCCCTCCTCCTCCTCATCCTCCTCCTCCTCCTCCTCCTCCTCCTCATCGTCCTCCTCCTCTTTTTCAATGGCTCTCTCTCTTGGCCCCCACCAATCTATGACCGAAGGGGCTGCGATAGGGCCCCCAAACACCACCGACCACCTCTGTCCCACACCTGTAGGAGGAGCCCGAAGGCCAGGACCGCCGTACAGGCGTAGGGCAGAGGCCCAGGTGCCTGGCTGCCCTCTGCCACCGCACGCAGGCGATGGCCTAAGAAAGGAAGTGAGATGGCAAATAACAATTAATTAGAGGTAGCGCACCTTGCCCCACCACTCGCCGCCAGGGTCCTCTTCTGGGCGAGCCAGGGGGCAAGGGCGCGTCAAGCGCAGGCCCTTAGGCCATGGGCACTTGCCATTCTGAATCTGAGACCTCTGTTGCTTGAAGATCCTATTGCAGGGCTCTCCAATTTTACGGGGGAGGCCCGACGTGTAGGCCCCGCAACGCGAACAAAACACTAAGGGTAGATTAGTCTCTACAATGCGACACACGTGCAACTTGTGTGGGGGAGAGACTACTAGCTCCACCACCTGCCTTAGGCTGGGGGTCAAAACGGCACACGGGTTCTTGGGACGCTGATTGCCGAAGGTGCGGGCACATTGAACGCACCTCCACGATAAACCAGTCCAGAGCACACGGTGAGGGCGACCGCTGGAGACAACCTTCGGCCTCGGGATGGACGGATTGCGGGCTAAACCCCCGAAGAGAACTTTGGCTTTCGGGAGCTCTAAGAAAATATTGGCCATACCTAACGCTACTACTTCCCAGCCTGCTAGACACACCTCGTATTTGTTGATGTCAGTAAGGACCCCTGGATGATGACGTTTAGCTCCATCTTTAGCAAGCTCATCTGTTTTGTCATTGCCGCGCTGGTGTCGCAGGGCAACTCCCGTGAGCTCTCCACTCACATGGGCCTTGACTTTTTTTTCAGACTCCACTGGGGAACTGCTGAACGATCAAGGGCACGCCATACTGCAGACAGCGGACTGGCACCTGAAATAGCCTTCCAAGGATCGCGAAATCCTCCTAGCAACGCTCGCAATCAATGTGAATCAAATACTCGACCCCGTCGGGGTCGTCGCCCTGGTCTGGCTCGAGGTGCGCGAGGCCAGACAGGAGCGCATAAACTTCACCGAAAATAAATCTCTGGGGAAGGAAACCAGGAACATGTCCATAGATGCCTCTGATAAATCCCCCCTCCTCGCTAACAGAAACAAAGCCCCAACCAGCTCTGGAAACAATGTCGTTGGTACCGTCATAACAGGACCCGTCACTATATAGATACTCGTTCTTGTTGAATCGGAACGGTTCGACGGGCCCGTCGGGGCCCACGAAAAAAAAAATAGTTCCTCCCCAAGTCGGTTCCTGCAGGTCGTTCGGCACAGGGAGCCACAAAGAACTGGAAGAAAAAAAGAAGAAGAAAAAAAAAACAAAAAAAAAAAAAAAAAAAAAAAAAAAAAAAAAAAAAAAAAACGGATCCTCTGGTCCTGCCTCCGTCCTGCTGCGGCCCATTCTGCTGGGAGAAGCTCGGCTCGGCGGACTGCCAGAGCTGGACATTCGAAGCACCTGCGCCATACTCCGTCGATGGTGCCGTGCACTCCGTCGCGGCACAGCGGGCAGAGCGGCTCAAGCTGGTAGCCCCACTTGTGCAGGTGACTGGCCGTCACATAAGACCGAGTGAACACTTGCTTCATTGCGCGTTTTTGGAGCTTGCTCTGACGCTTAGTTCGTTCCAGAAGGACCGAGGGGGTTCCACCCAGAGGCCACGCTCCAAAATCTCAACAGCACGCTCGTGTTCACTGTCTTTCAGCCTGCGCTGCATACTCTGCTGCGCGAACTCCTCACCTAGGTCCCTGACAAATATTTTGAAACTGAAACGAACGGTATATGAAAGAACGCAGGGGGGGGGGGGGGGGGGGCATCCCGCACGGTAAAAATCCCAGGACCGCCAATAGACCATCCAGCTCTGGAAATCCATTACAGCATGTCCCCGACAGGGCCCCAAGCCAAACATTCCCAGGAAGCCTTCGGACGACGTTCCTGGAAAAAAGGTGAACCTCATGGACCAGCTTGACCAGATCCCCCACAGCAACACAATCCCCAGGCCGAAGTTTCTCGTCCGTGGCTAACCAGAACTCCTTCGCAAATCGGGCTAGGGTCGCGCCTGCATGTTTGATCGGGCCCTTGCTGGGTTCCAGGGCAAAAGCGAGGTTGAGGTCGGCACCGCAGGTGGTGAGACCTAAAAAGCCAGCAGCGTGAGACCTGAGCTCCCTGATCTCTCGGGGCGTCCATCCCACCACTTCCTCGCCATACGTCGTCGCTGGCTTGACTCCACAAAACCAAACCTTGGCCCTGGATCGTTTCGGATTTTTCAAGCTACGTATCTTGGCCAGGCGGGACCTCCCCTTCTTCCATCTCTCCTTTCGTTTGGCCTTGGCCTGGGGTCTGGTCATGGACTTCCCAGGCGCAAAGTCCACTCCAGAGTTGATGATAGAGTGGTTAAACTCGCCAGCGTACTGGCCCAACTGGCTCTGCGCTAGCTCCACAAGCTCGGTGCCGGTGCCAGTGATCGCAAACTTGTTAAAGGCAAAGCGCAGGTTAAAGAAAGAGGACAGCTGCTCTACCAAGAATGCCATAGCCAGGGCCACGTTTCTAACACAACTGTGAATACAACTATCGTACATGTTCAGCGAGAAGTCGTCGATGTGAACAGCTAAAGTAGGTGCGAACCTGAGCTCCTGGAACCGATTTACAGTGGGTATGCAGTAACATTTGATTTCAAACGTCGCGGTACTGCTCCCAGCTACGACCCCCTGCCCCGGCTCCAACTCCTCCCAAATCAACCCCTCCATACTGAGTACCCTAGCCCACCGATAGTTGTGCATGGCAAAGCGTACCGTGAAGAGTGGATATTGCCAGTCCGTGCAAGCTCGAACTAGTTGTGGATGCTGAACGTGTTCATAGCATTGCTTTAGATCTCTTAGAACAGTTAGAGCCTCTTGACGATTTGCAACAGCTAGATCTCCACGTATCTGTTGCCTCCAAACAGCGTCGACAGCGCTGCGGCCTGGGGCCATGGAAAATACACCTTGATCGGAAACTTTCTTCTCCCACTCTTTGCAGTGCCTCGAATGCCATCGGGATGTCAATCTGACTAGGCTCTGAAAGAATCCGATCGGACGCCT